AGGAACTTAACATATGGGTAGGAAGGATTGTACTTGTACGTTAAAGCATTTTTTCACAACCAAATGTGATACACAAAATTTATATTAATCAATGACAAAATTTAGTATTTGTAGCATACAAACATGCAATAATATAGGTTTGATGAAATGGTTTTATAACTCAATTTGTTAAATAGCTAAACACTTGCAGATACACACAGAGTCTTGACATTAAAGAAGACAGTAACTTCTACTAACTATCAGTACTGTTCAGTGATCATGTAATTTTGGCTTCATATTTACTATTGTTTCCATATGATGACTACATGTCTATGACTGTCCACATTAAGCTCATTAGTATTACATGTCAATTAAACCTAAAATTTTACCTTTTTGAAAGATCTACCAGTTAACGATGTCATGAACATTTTCATTTTTACCTTTCTGGATTATATACTATGTTTTGATTGCCCCTTTAACATAAAAAAAATTATTTTTGGTGCGTAAAATTTGGGGTAATTATTTATTGAAACTGCTTTGTATAAAATTTTCTAGATGTTACGCTCGTCTTCATCCCAAGGCTGTGAATTGTCGTAAGAGGAAATGTGGCCACTGCAACAACTTGCGTCCCAAGAAGAAGTTGAAGTAGACATGAAGAATGTTCAGTTTCAAGAAGTAATAAACTGACTGGATAGAAAAATTTGAAACTAATAAAAAAATTTTCTGTGGAAATAAGTTTGATTTTGTTATAATTTTTTTCATTTATTATGGTAATATTTGGTTAAATTTCTTTCAAAGATATGTACGTTTTTTGTAAATTGAGATAATGTTCTGCTGTTGAAAATTAGTTATTAATCCCAATCTTTTAGCAAGACATGAATAAAAAAAATTGGTTCCATGAAAGAAAAAAATTTCTGAAAAAGTGGTGACTGAAACAACATTAATGTTGATGGACAGCAAAGATAGAACAAATTTTCAGTACAAGACAAAAGCTCTCAAAACAATCATCAACAACTAAAGATTAACATTTTAACTTTCTATCAGGTATCCTTACAACCTCAAAATTGTTAAAACAAACATTTCTCTATTCTTTTGGATAGCTGATAAAATACTTTTCATTTAATTTTGTCGACATCCGTATCCTCACCTAACTCCAATTTAATGGTAGATATTACATCATCTGCAAAATCTACTTCATATGACAGTTTAATACTATTTGTGTTGTACGGAATAGTTCTGGCCCATTCAGCTTCAGATACATTTCCCGCATTAGAACTTATATCTAACAAATCTTACCTTATAACACTCCTCTTGATTAAAACGACTCCATCGTAACTGTAAGCCCACACACCTTGGTTGAGATGGGACCAGAAAAAGCAGTTGGTTCCTTCTAGCTATGCAAGTTGAACAATGAAAGCATGCAAGAAAATGTGAAACACACAACTGCCATCATGACAATAAAGGCACCATTTGTTACAGGGAATGCTCCCACAACATAAAATGTGATTTATAAAAACCTGAACCATTGTGGAGGTCTCGAAACTCTACTGCTGGCCCCATGACAAGATATTGGATGGTCAAAGACCTCAAAATAGAAATACCCACAAAATGTAAACAAAACAACATTCAACTGTAACATGAAATGAGCATGCATCAAACATCCAAACTTTCAACATGAGGAAATGTCTAAATGTCACAATAAATCAGAATTTCAACATAATTAACATGTCAGATTCATTTAGAAAAATGTTGCTTTGAATAGAAAATAAGCACCAAGAAACTTAAATTGTTTGGCATTGCGTAGGTAAGGTGATGACAAAAAAAATTTTTTGAGAAAGGTATGCAACAGCCCTTTTTGACAAAAAATATTCAAAACACTGAAATATTAAAGATGTACTCGTATCATGGATTTAGAATTTCGAGGATGGGGGTGGGGAGGATATCCCTTGTACAAAGCACATTTGAAGCAAAATATATGGAATAACTTGGGGTACCAGGACAACCCAGAAACAGACCTGCAACAAGTTATGTTCCTGATGTGTTAAGCAAAGTGCAGCAATTTAACAGGTAATAATCCACACACACAGAAACATCAGTGGCAAATGTTCTCCACATGCCTCAAGCAACAGTATGCGATATAATCAAGAAGTCTGTTCAACCAGTTAATATCTCAATCAATGGGAGAATAAAACAGATACTCATGCTATTCTATAAGAAAACATACTGGTTAAGTCTCTGGATGCAGTACCTATATTTCTTTGTGACTGGATTGTTGAAATAGGCAATGAAAAACCACTGTCCTCATAAACTAGATGGATTATGGAAGGCTGTCAGAGAAGAGTGGACGATTTTGGGTATGACAGCTTTATGAAAGAATTTTTCCCAATAAAAACTACACCACAGGATTCAACGTATCAGACATAGAATGGCCATAGGTGATGACACGGATTGTAAAGATGTGGTGAGGCTCCAAAATCGATATAAAATATTCAAACTCTATACTTCTTTCTACAAGGTTTTAACCAAGGTAATTCATCAGTACGAAATTTTAAACAGCTCTAGTTTAGTAAAACAGTTTTGTTGCCTTTTGATTTATGTTTAACTACTAAACACAATCCATGTAACGAGCAGAGAAAACACTGCAAATGGTTATCTTAAATTATGGTATTGAATTATCACAGCAGACCTAGTTGACAAACTTGGTTTTTTTATTTAACCTAAGTTTCTAAGTGTAAAATGTTAGGTACTTTTATGAAAATAATATAAACAATATACATAAAAAACTAAAAATTCAATGCTTATGTCTGGGTTTTGTTTTGGCCCTAAGAAAATTTAACCCTACTTTTTCTAGCAATGGTAGTAGTACATAAACTATTTATTCCAAACATACAACTGAGGAGAAAAAAATATGCAGAAAACATAAAATTTCTTTCAAATAATTCAGTTACATGGTCCATGTGAATTCAGCAATCGTAACAATAAATCTGTAGGTTGAATAACTCTCACTCTGTTAGAAATCAGTAAATTAAAACCTTTCCTTTCAATTGATTATAAATAATCCATAAGCAAATATCAGAGAAGTATTGACATTCTGTGACAGAAAGCATGACAAGTGGGTTTGGCTTTCTGGATTATATCTTCATAAACCAAGGAGACTGGAGGCTATAAAATCAGATTATGCCTTAGTCATATTAACACTATAAATGTGTAATTAATGTTAAAATCGGGACATCATATAGGATTGATGAGATAATCAAAAATGAGCAAGTCAGAACAAACAAGTGAAGATTGGAAATTTAAATATTTCCTTTTGAAATTAAGAAATTAAAACTTGATATATTAACTGTTTTGATGTCAAACTTATTGATATACATTGATAATAAAGCAGGTTTATTTAATGTAACTCTGTAAAGAGCCATGACATGTAAAACTTTGACCAACTCACGTTAAGGGCTAATGATGAAAATGAATAATTCGGCTTAATATAATATCTCTGCAAAAACGGAATTTACAGAAGATACACAGCAAAAGAAAATACAAAGTTAAAACTGTATATAGGATTCTTTAACAATTCCTTATACATATATAAATTGAATTAATGCACTCGACACCAAAGAAAACTTACCAGGCACTGTATACATTAAAATTGATAATCAGAAAAACTGTCATAGACAAAACCTAACTAATAAGGATGTTAGACATAGTTGGAACAGAAAAAATTCAAATATACATATATCCTACATTATATGTACATGAAATAAGAAGCTTAAGCATCTAAGTCAACATAAAGTATTAATCACACTTTATAAAAACAATGTACCAAGTCTTGTGCTGTCCTAGAAATTATTACTCCCATTGTTAAATTGTTCTCAATCTGACAGCAATGAACCACACATTATTGCTTCACATCATGGCTTTTACTATGCAGGATAGCAAGGTCAATCTTACACGTCTTACCAAATTTACCACAAACCTCTAATGAAAGTTGGCATCGTTTTCTAAGAACAAAAACAAACAAAATTTACTGGAGTAGCACTTTGGTCAAATGAAATTATTATGATTCCATTTTTCTCTAAAAACGTTTATTATTATTATTATTATAACCAATTTCAAAGGAACATAAGATTGCACAGCACTGTATATATATAGTATGACATCTCTTTTTGAAGGTTAGAAACTTTGAATTAATATACGTACATACAGATTAAATACACACTGACTGAAGTATATACTAATATATTTCAAACAACATGGAAGAAATAGTAATCAATTAACAGTATGAAATAAACACATCAATATAAGCTGAAGGGCCAACATTAGAACATCTATTACCACTGGTATATAGAACTTGCTCAAAAGAGTGAGTTAGGACCTTTTCTCAGTCAGCACCATATGCCAATTCATTAATCCAGACTAAAAAAATACTTACATACAAGTTCAATAAAGATGCAAAACTGAGAAACCTTAAAACCCAAGAAACTATAACCTTACGTTTTACATGCATTGGAAACAGAGACATCAACTAATGACAACGGTTGGTGTTTCTAAAGGTAACAGTAACTTGACAAATTGTAATGTTGCCTGTAAAATAAATGAAGCAATTTCAACCAGTTATAAAAACCATAATGTTAAAAAATAAACCACTAAATATATAAACTTAAGGCAGAAAATGTCTTACAAATGTATATACATGTCAAAGGTTTTAACAGCTGTTTGTCAAAATGTCAATGATTTATTACTCTACCAGAAACCATTTAAAATTATGATGTGAATAGTGTGAATGTGTAAAGTGTAATAAAAGTTTTGTTCCAAGACTTATAAATGTGTCCAACATTAGATAAATTATGTAGTTAAAAGCTGAAAAGTGGCGTATGAAAACTAAATACAAAATTTACCAATGTTAAAAAATAACTATGTAATTCAACTATCAGCACATAAGCAAGAAAAAGCTAACTATGTAACGAAAATATTCTTACTATCACTCGTAGATTACTTAACCCTACCGATACATGTCACGGGTCAAAGGCCATGTCATCACGTTTGTTGACTAGCATTAAAAATTTTAGTATTATCCATTAGTTAATTTCTTAATTTAAAATTAAATATTAAAAAAGAAGTCCTAAATATTGATTTTTGTGTGTCATATGGTACGTTGAATGCAGCATTCATTCAAATTAGATGTTTCTGATGTCCAAGTACGGTCTATAGTTTCTTATGAATTAGGAACTCAAAGTTCATAACTAGAAGAGATAATTGTTTGCTATACTTTATTTACTGTTCTA